CGTGTTCGAATCCCGGCGGGGTCAGGCGGAAACCCTTTTGCCCCCCGCAGGGCTCCCCCCCCCCACGGGGCCTACGTGCTTTGTTCTCTGCACATGTGCGGAGGCCTCCTTCCCCGGAGACTGCTGAGGCGCGCCGCAGGGCGCCTCCGGCCTCCCCCCAGCCGCCGGGCGAGGGCGCTGGCTGCGGGCCCGGCTCCTGGCCTCCGGGGGTGGGGTGGGGGGGCGATGCGGGTGGCCCCTTAGCGCGCTTGGCAGCTGCCCCGCTCATTAGCCGCGCTCGGCCCGGCCCCGACAAGCGCCCCATTGAGAGCGGGCGGCGGCGGCGGCAGGAGCGAAGCCGTCCGGCCCGGGGCTTGCCAGAGAAGAGCGGCGGCGGGTCGAGCTGGAGCCGGCAGGCGGCGCCGTGGCTTAGTTGGTTAAAGCGCCTGTCTAGTAAACAGGAGATCCTGGGTTCGAATCCCAGCGGTGCCTGCAGGGTTCTTCGTTCTTCATTTTGCTTTTCATTTATGTTATTTATTGCTAAATAGTAAATTCACAAGAACAAAATGGGTTCCCCAGCTATTCCTATGATTTCATCATTGAGTGGTTCTTAGAATACAAGACCTGCTGGATGAGATCAATATCCCATCTAGTTGAGCATCCTTTTTCAAGCAAGGGTCAAACTCCAGAAACTGGCATTCAATGCTAGACTGTCTCTGACCACAGAAGCCCCACTTATCCATTACGGGTATCCACCATGATTTTGCCTTTTAAAGATATCTAACTAGTGGTCATACAGACATAGCCTGTACAATATCACTTTTTGAGATGGGATGAACAGCATTTCACTCAGTATCCAAACTGTGACCACACCACAGATCTACACAAGAGTATCACTTGTAGCCATTTTACTGATCCCTACCATAGAATTCTATCTCATTGCAGCCATGCACTGAGTCAACATTTTCAGCATGGTGTTGACCACTCACCTGTTTTGGAAAGACCTTCACAATCTGCTTTGATTATCATCCTTGAAAATAAGCTGACATTGTCTGCAAACTTGGCCCCATCACTCCTTCCAGATAATTTATGAATAAATGAATCATAGATGCTCCCCTCACTTACTCTTCTCTGCTGTAAGAATTACCAGTTTAATATTACCCTTCCTACATGTTGTTTAACCAGTTACCAATACACAAGAGTATAGCTGACATACTGCCCTCTTGAAAATCAGATTCTCCCACCCATTCCGGGAGGCCTCCCGGTTTGTCCGGGAACTCCTGATGAAACTGCCGCAACAGTTCAGGGGCCCGAATATCCCCTACTTCCACCCATTCGAGGTGCTGGGGTCCGAAATCCACCCATTCCACCAAATACAGCAATCTTCCCCGTTTAATCTTAGAGTCCAGTATCCGTGATATTTCGTAATGCTCCTCGCCCTCAATCATGATAGGAGGGGGCACCGGTTTTCACAGGACGCCAGGGACAGGAACCCGTATCCCTCTTCAGGAGGCTGAAATAAAATACAGAATGCAATTTTCTCAAATTTTTCGGCAAGTCCACCTCAACTGCAACATCGTTGATGACTCTTTTAACTTTAAAAGGCCCAATGTATTTCCAGCCCAACTTACGACTAGGTCACAACATGTTGATATTTTTGGTAGAAACATATACCGAATCCCCAGGCTGTAGAGCCTTCTCTTATTAGCCTGCGCTTTATATGCTTCTTTGGCAGCAGTCAAAGTCTTACACAGTGGTGGCCACGAGTCCCGCAATTGTTTCCA